CAATTCTTATACATCTGTTTTTAGCGGCTAAAATAGTAATTGCGAGATGGTGGAAAAGGGATTTAGAAGTCCCCTGGAAGAAAGTCAAAATTCAACTCGAGTTTCAGATTAGAATGGAGCTGATGCTAAGTAAACAAAGATTAAGCAATAAGATTTCTGTTTGGTCAAAGTGTATTGAGATGATTGATGTAGAAAATAATGCCGATCAATTAGTAGTAGAATAATTCCATGAACATTGTAAATAATTATGAGACTTATCTAAATGATATTACCACTCTACTATGGAAGTCTTTTTGATGTATTTTTCTCTTCCCTCCCCTATTTTGCTGCTGTGTTGTTTTTTTGTATTATAAATGTATATTTGTATGATATTTGTATTTGTATGACATATGTATTTAATGTGATTTAAAAGAAAAAAATATAAAATAAAGATTAAATATTCAAAAAAAAATAATATGTTCATATTGATATTTGTATATATTGATATATTTATTATATATTGTATATATGTTTTGATCGTTTTAATATCATGAAACAATCTTTTTAAACAGTTATCAAAACATCATTTGAAAAGGTTCTATAAAAAAAATCAAGTTCTGTATTTGAAGAAAGTTAATATTTTAAGATGTTTTAATTTGACCCCTTAGTATCTTCCATGTGTCATTAAACAATGAACAAGCCCCCAAGAGTCAAGTGGGCTCATACCACACCAAAACCAAAAATCCAAATTTTTGGTTACTAGTCGATAAATGTAATTGCCTATTATGGATACTACTACACTTAATAACAATAATGCTGCTCTATTTTTATTTCAGAAAGAAAAACTACCAAAGATCAATTGAAAATTAAATTTAAAAGACTGAAGAACTCACACCTTGTCTTCCCCATCAAAATGTAACATTTAGTGGTAAATGCAAATAAAATGATCATTAACCTTGAATAATTGTCCTGTCTCATTGTAATCTTTATCATTATTTATTTCACAAAAGTTTCAGTACATTTCAAAACTCAAGCATAATTTGCATAGCAACAAGTAATTTAATGGCAACATTTTGTGGAAAAGCTAATTTAACTAAATATTTATATTGCAAAATTATTTGACTCCTGTTTAGTGATTAATTATATTCCAGGATATACTGTACACAGGACCATACATAACTGGAAGCTTAAAACTGTCAATGTGTCTGGTTCCATAACCAGTAAAATATAGATATATATACACAAGAAGGAGAATAATATTGTTTTAGAGTCATCGACAATAGAATAAATTTGGATAAACTATAATTAATTATTATTATCATTACATTTATTTAAAAAACATAATTATTTTCCACAGCATGGTTATGGAGATATTTAAGTGATTGGTACCTGGAGAAATACAAAATGAATTAACGGAGTCGGATGAGTTTTTATAAGTTTGCCAATGGAAACGGTCATGCATCATAACTTATTTTAGTCCAGACATTTTTAACCCCTTAAGGACACATGACAGAAATATTCCGTCATGATTCCCTTTTATTTCAGAAGTTGTGTCCTTAAGGGGTTAATTAGCATAGAAACAGTTCTACGGCCATTTTGTGAGGTGTGATACAGACATTGCACAGCATAGCAGGAATCTTGGGAAAGACTCAGTTAAACTATTTGCTTATTGGCAACTACGTGCCCTGTTACTATTTGTTTCAATCTAAACTGGGAGCTTCTTACACACACACTCTCTCTTAAGCAACTTTATTTTTTTGTATTATTTAATTTTTCCAATGTAATTGATAACATCAGCATGGATGCTGTATACTAGAGTTAAACATTGCACATCAAACAACTATATTATTCACTGATTATATATTTTACTACTTTCTAAAATGACCAATCTTACGTTTTCTATTTTGAATTTATATGGAGGATAACAATATTAAAGTCCTCTTAGCCGAAAGATAAGTAAAAGCTGATACAAACTATTAAACATTTCATTTCCTGTAAGGGGAGCAATCATTTGGGTAGAAATGTGCTTATTAATGTGTGGTGGGAATTGGGTTGTTTTTTTTTAATGTAACTTTTAAATAAAGAGATTTTTTTTAATAATTGATTACATCAATACACACACTAATATTGTACGGGCACTGTATATACTATACACATATTTATGGAAACACCTTGAATGGTTACAAATTAACACCCATTCTTTAGTTCTGTCAGTGGAGCTCTCTCTGTATATTTTGTGTCCTTTGCTGAACTCAAGGCTTCAATTATAATCCTACTCTCCAATTATACCCTGACACTACTGAGTGATTTGATATTCATATACGCAGCTCTCCCCCATCACCTATCTCTTTTATTTGTAAGTGGTTTTCTCAATGGAAGGAGTGCCCCTTGAATGGATTGAATTGAACTCAGCACACCTGACCTGTTTTTCAAATTACTAATTATAGCCTGTTTGTTGTGGTGGGATGGGGTGGGGTGGGGCGTTAAATGGTTGATAAATATACCTACTAAGTAACTGTACTGTTGTTAAAGGTGTATTTTAATCTTCCACCCAGATTTAGCCTCATTTAATCTTCCACCCGGATTTAGCCTCATTTTATAGTGTATGTTACATATAGGTAGAGGTTTTGTTTGTGTGATTGGATGCGCTGATGTGAGGTATGTTGAGATACTGCTTGTGGAGTTGCGTGTTTGTGGTGGCTGCTTGTATTGTTGGCATTGTTTGTTTCTGAGGCTGCTGCTTGTAGGGCTGTTTGTGTGTTGATGCTTCTTGTGGGGTTGTGTATGTAGGGAAAGCTGCTTTTAAGGTTGCGTGAGTGGGGGAGATGCTGCTTGTAGAGCTGCGGGTTGTGTGTAGATGGGACTGTTTGTGGTGTAGTATGTGTGTGTGCATGTAAATAGGGGATTTGTGGATAGGGGCTAGAGTTTTGGTGTAAAGGGGGATAGTGGCGTTAGTGTGTGTATTTGGGAGGGCTGGGCCTTTTTTGTGTGTTTGTTGTTGAAGATTGCAGAGTGTGTGTGGAAATTGGGGCGGTTTATCGAGTAATTGTGCAGGGAATAGGGGCTGTAGTGTGCATTTTGGGATAATAGGGAGTGCTCTGTGTATTGAGAGGGTAAAGGTGCTGTGGTTAACAAAAAGGGGTGTAGGTGCCTGTAGTACAGGATAGATGCAGCGGTGGGTCCAAATGGACAAGTTCTGGTGAGAATGATTGAATGATAACCACATTGACAGTCCTCATATTTACTAAAGCCAAACACAGTCAGAATTCCATCTGTCCAAATCTGCAGCAATTTTAAACTGAATGTGAGCCAATTGCATCCGGAAGGATACACATCCGCAAATTATCATCCACTTGCTATCATGCAAATGAATGATAATTTGAAGCACTATCTGCCACTGGCAGCACTAGCAGCCAGCAGACAAATAGTTAAATAACCCTTGACGCTGCAGGAGTTAATTATGGTGTGACAGGCCTGCACTTGTGAGCGAGCTGCCACATTTTAAAAAAGTAATTTAATTAATAAATGAAAATCCTTTGGGGGGGTCGATAAGACTTCCATATTACTATAATGGAGAATATTCACCTCCGTGCTATCAGAGCTCAGGCCTACAGACGTGGGCTTGCAGCATTCAGTCCCGGATTTTAGCTGTCCAGCAAAATATGGACATTGTCAAATAGCGTTAACAGTATTTGGATTTTCTAGTCCGAATGGCCCCGTACAAGGCCGGCTGGTTATTTCCCATTCGGTCCGGGGCCATTTGGACTTTAGTGAATAACCTGCTGGATCTGTTATGTTGGATGAATTGGCCCCAGCAGCACCTATATAAGTATGCACGCTCAGCAGAGTGCAGTCTCTTAGTTTCATATATATAATGATGAAAAGTCTGCTGTTTGGACTGAAATGGTTATGTAATGTAATCGTTTGGGAAATAAAAGTTTGAAGAATACTACAAATACAGCCAGTGCTCTCCATAGTGTTGATATATTGGGAGTGACTGGAGCAGCACCTTCGTGAGGAAAGCAGACAAACATGTGCAGGACCATGTAGTGTGTGTATATATATATACGTCTACTGGCTATTAGAATAGGACTTGAAATGTTAAGAATATTAGCACCATCTGCAGAAGCACACAAACATTGGCATAAATCTGCAGACACATTGTATTCTTCTAATTCAGAGGTACACAGAAAAGAATGGTGTTCATTTCTCTTTACAATATTAAAAAGGCTTGTAAAATACACATAACAATTTCAATTCAAGTAAATTGAATTTAAAGAGAAACTTAAAATGTTATGTTCTTGGTCTCCTCTCTTCCAATTCCATCATGTAGGGCTGAGTTGTACAATGGGCGACTGCTTGAAATGGTCACAGAGACCATTTTGGAAGAAGCAGAAATTATTTTCAATATTAAATCTAAATATTACAGCTGACATGCATTAACAGTCAATCTAGTAAGTAGTTATACTAGCAGCTAATAGTTTAATGAATTATTATTATTAATATTGTTGATAGATATATATATATATAGAGAGAGAGAGAGAGAGCCAACTTATTCCTCAGTGCTTTACCATATGATAAAGGGGGTTATAGGTTGATGATGACCCTGTTCAACCAAGTTTAGAATATAGAGGATAGAAAGCTAGTTCAAACAGAGTCCTCTCTCTTATGGATTCTACAAATAGTCCCTTAAACTTGAGAAATCACCTGAAAAAATAACTGAAATGCCATCTACTTAATTCCTATGTTTTTCTTTGTAGCAGTTTTGCCTTATCTGGGAGCTATTTCTAAAGTTTCAATTATCTGTACTAACTTCTAATCCGAGTCCATGGTGTTACATCAGAAAATGCTTTTGTAAAAATAACCACAACCCAGCAATCTTGATTCTTAATGACAGCATGACACGTAGATGTATCCTACAGTATTGTCTTAACGATGATTACAGGATGCAAAATCTCTAAATTACCTGTTGTTCTTGGATTCATCTGATTGTTTTGAACTTTTCTGCCCCCGTCTCCACCCATCACCGGTCCTCACACAAAGAATGATCCTAGAAAGTATTTAAAGTGGTCAGTGACAGCCTCCTTCAAACAGACCACTTCTCTCTTTAGAACAGCACCAGATAGAACGAGACATGTTATTCCTCATTGTCCTCACTTTGCTGGCTCAGGCTTTCGCTCATCTTGAAAATGGTGAGTATCTTTAACACATCTCATATAATAAATATTCTAAAGTAGAAGGCAGGCATGTATGAATAATTAATATTTTTACATACTGATATCCAGCTAGTAGTATTTATTGATAAATATGTATCGGAACTAGCACTAGTCACTAAAAAGCAGAATAGCAACTCCCATTAGTCTACTTTATCACCGATCTGTGCTATTTTACAGTTATCTACAATATCCCGTTCGGGATATATAAGCAAAAAATAAAAGAGAACACAATTATGAGTGCTCTTTTCTTCTTTTTTTTTGTTTTTATAAATATATATAAATATATAAACCAAAAAAATGAGAGCACTCACTGGGATTTGCCAAAATAAAGAAACGACCTCTCAGGGTTTTATCAAGATCTTAATAAAGTTTATTTTATTTTGTGCACCTCAATCAGTAATGCAGGTCTGCCACTTGGAGAAATGCAGTATGGTGATGTCTCCACATATACATTCCAACCTGCAAACAAATCTTGTACTAGTGTCTAACATTCCATAATCAGAGAAGGCACTGTCCCCTTTCCCACCAACATTCTCCCCATGTGATCGACTAGCTGGTGGTGCATCATCATTAATACTTGAGAATACACAGAACTCCATTGATGCATCTGGCTTCATTGGGTCTTTTTGCACATGCCTGATAGTACTCTATAATTAGTAAATGAAACAACATAACTAATGGGAAATTTTTTATGATGAGTATTTCTTTATTAAAAACATCCAAGTATCAGGCATGCTTTAAATGTTTAATTGATTTTAGCTATTATTTCTCAAATAATAATAAAGGTGCCAAGAACAACCATCAGAATGAGCCTCCTGCTGCTGAGCAAATTGGTGCCTCAGGACACCAACTATATAAATTCAATGTCTCAGGAGCCACCAAGCATCTATTGAATGTCAAAGGGAACCACTCACATCAACTGGATATCTCAGATGAACGCACACATCAACTGAATGTCTCAGGAACCCATCTACGTCAACTCAATGTCTCAGGTGTCCTCCCACATCAATTTAATGTCTCAGGAGAACGCCCATATCGATTCAATCACTCAAGAGCCCATCCACATGGAATCAATGACTCAGGAGACCACCCACATAAAAATGTATATCAAGGCTTAAGTAAGAATCATAAAAGAGGCAATATATTCCATCCTAGACCTATAAGATCCATACGTGGGGCACTGTTTGAGCAAGGAGAAGGTAGCATGCATCATGTAACTGTGAGTATATCTTTATTAATGCCAGTTCTAATTTTCCTGTATAATTTCACAATAATGTTAACATTCGTTACATCCAAGATGGTTAATTTATGACTGTTTTCCTGGCACTGGAGAGTCTCTTTAACTAGATATTAGGTAATACATGAAAAGAAATGGAATACATAAATAAATATATATAGATTGTTGCTCACCTACAAAGTTCCAGCATTTTCAATTAAAGCACTGAAAATTGAAGCAGGCCAATACTGCCCCATTGAGAATGGCCTCTGCAATATCCAACTCTCTATGGAACATTGTCAAAGTGAACTAAGTTGCAGTTCATATGACAGAGGAAAACAGCAGGAGAGAATTGTAAGATATCATAATGATACAATGTTTATTAATATTGCTGCAGCAAAGTTCGGGCAAACCTAATGTCGACGATCTCAGCAGACCTCTAACCTTTACACATCATGTCTTTGGCTTCCATGGAAGAAAGAAGCCAACTGAAAACGCCACTCATTATAGACACAAGCAAAATAACTGGTATGTCGGATCTTTTTAACCCCTTAAGGACTGAGCCAAATGTACACGTTGTGATCAAAACAAAACGTAAACAAAACCTGGCATTTGCGCTACATGTCTGTTCAGGGCTTTCATTTCACATCAAATATTTAGGTATGAAACATAATTTAATATGAATAAAATATTAAAATAATGGGAGAAAACAAGAATTTGTTTTATTTTTTTTGTTCTACGTGACATTTTAACTGTAAATGTCATAATACTGTTTCCTTTAACTGCAATAAAATACACATATATTTGTATTCAGCGATGTCTCACGTGTAAAACAGTACCCCCTATGTACAGGTTTTATGGAGTTTTGGGAAGTTGCAGGGTCAAATATAGCATGTTACATTTTTCAGGTTTTTCACATTGAAATTCGCAAGATTTGTAACGCCGCCTTTGAGACTGTATGGTAGCCCAGGAATGAGAATTACCCCTATGATGGCATACCATTTGCAAAAGTAGACAACCCAAGGAATTGCAAATGGGGTATGTCCAGTCTTTTTTAGTAGCCACTTAGTCACAAACACTGGCCAAATTTAACGTTAATATTTGTTTGTGTGTGAAAAATGAAAAAAACTAATTTGAACGCCGATTTTGACCAGTGTTTGTGACTCAGTGGCTACTAAAAAAGACCGGACATACCCCATTTGCAATACCTTTGGTTGTCTGCTATTGCAAATGGTATTCCATCACGGTGATAATTTTCATTCCTGAGCTACCACACAGTCTCAAAGGCAACGGTCTCTGGCGTATTTCAATGGGAAAAAACTGAAACACAGGTCTTATATTTGACTCTGTAACTTTTGAAAACAGCATAAAACCTTTACATGAGTGGTACTGTTATACTCGGGGGAAATTCGCTGAACACAAATATTAGTGTTTCAAAAAAGTAAAACGTATCACAACAATTATATCGCCATTGTAAGTGCCATTTGTGTGTGAAAAATGCAAAAAATTTCACTTTCACTGACAATATCATCATTGTAATACATTTTACTGTTTTGAAACACTAATATTTGTGTTCAGCAAAGCCTTCCGAGTAAAACAGTACCCCCCATGTACAGGTTTTATGGTGTCTTGGAAAGTTAAAGGGTCAAATATAGTGCTAGCAAATTAAATTCCCTGAACTTTTGGCATGGGTTGTCAGGCAGGTCCCGCAAATTGTAATTAATTAAGATACCTAATTATGTAAAATTATTACATAAATATATACGTAGAATTATTATGTATATATACGTGTGTATGTATATATATATATGTGTATATATATATATATATATATAATTTTTTTATTATTTCTTTTTATATATACGTACATATATTTATATATAGTGATATATACGTAAATACTTATGTATATAGATATATATATATATATTATTTCATTCTATGTGTATTTTGATATCAATATATATATATATTAATATCAAAATACAGTTAGAATGAAATTACACACATATGTATATATATTTTTATTTATTTTTTTGTTGTTATTTTTTTACATATTTACATATTTATGTATTTACTATTATATATAAATATATATATAATTATAATTATATATATATTTAATCAATATCATTCTACGTGTATTTTAATATTAGTTTATTTATATGATTATATATATATATTAATATTAAAATACACTTAGTGTATGTGTATATATATATACTTAGATCATAGATATAATAAATATATATATGATCTAAGTATATATAATTTTATTTTAATCAGGCACTCCCCCTGCTGGCACTGCTATGGACGGCTATTCTGTCCATGTGATCGTGAGATCCTCGTAAGGACCTCGCGATCACATGGCCCAGGGGGGCCGAAGAGGAAGGAGGGGGACTCCCTGGGATGCCACCGGGTAAGTACATAGGACATAGCACGTCCGCAGTCCTTAAGGGATTAAATGATCAACTTTACTCAAAATGTATCAACAAAATAAATAGTAAAAATACTGAAAACAAACCACCTGAAGATGCAGTAAACACAGAAATATAGAGTGTATAGAGATACAGTTACTCAGATATTAAGTCAAGCCACAAACTAATGTAGTCACTAAATTAGGAAGTGTAACATGGAAATTGCATATTATATTCCAAAATAGCCCATCTGGAATGTAGATGGTTAGAGAAAGATTCCAGCTCAACTAAACTGGCATACATTGTACAATGTCTCGCTCATTGCTTATTTGTGGTAGAGAGAATAAACCTCAATGTGCTTTAAAAGGAAACTATAGTGCCAGGAAAACAAAGTTGTTTCCCTGGCAGTATAGCTCCCTATAGTGCCCCCCTCCCTCGTGCCCACCTCCCTTGTGGGGCAGAAGGGGTTAAAAACTGATTCCAGCGCAATATCCCTTGGTACTGGTTCAGGCTCTGCCTCCACTCCTCCCCCACTGGCCGACATACTGCGCATGTGCGGCGAGCACCACACTTGCATCAGGACTACTCCCATAGGAAACCATTGTATAGCTCGAGGATGTCCAGCATCACTTATCAGACCAGAAGTAGGAGGCCTGGAGGAGCTGGGTTATAGATTAATGCAGGGAAGGAAGGGTCTGGAGATTTAATATATATTTTATGCCTATTTGTTTAAATAGAAATGTAAGTTCTAATAAAACTATTGTTACATTCTATTCTTGTGATTTCAGAATGAAGATGAATACTAAAGGAAAATGAATGGAGTTACAATCAATGTTAGCGTCTCTTTGATATGAAATTAAATAAAATGGTCATCTTTATATTTTTCCATTAAACTTTTTTATTTCCCTAATTTGAAGTGTTGGACTGCAGAGTTTTTCTAATCATTTAACAGCAAGTAGTTCTGTGCATTTATGATTCAAAATAATCACCAGAAATACTTAACGTTCAATCTTGGCTGTATAAGCCCCATGGCTCTCCTCTGGGTTCCTCCTTTGCAAACCCTCCTAAACAGTATGTATATAAAAACAAAGATGGATCCTAAGAAAACACATTAAAAACAACCACAGTGTAGCAATCTAACGAAATAACTCCTGGTTCCAACATGCAATGCATTCTAAACATAGCTGGATATATGCCCTTGACAGGTGCCTCCCTTCGAGAGTCGGGGGGAGCTTTAAGTAGTTTGTTTCCTTCACAGCGATTTCACCAAGGACCTGGTTCGGTAACAAAGAGATTTATTAATAAATTAACAAAGTATAAAACTATACATTTTAGTGTTTCGTCTTTACCATTATGAGACCACATCAGGGACCATATGAAGGATAACATTAAAAACAAAATAAAATACAATTAAATCTATATATGTTCCCTCCTGCCCAGAGTCCATTTAAAAGTCCTTTTCTCCTATTGGTGCTCCTTACCTTCCTCTCTTCTTGTTAATCTCTGTCTTCCAACGATAGTTGTTCTTTGATATTAACGTCATGTGTCAAAACCAAATACAGTATATTTCTATTTTGTTTTAACATTAAAGGGACACTATAGTCACATGAACAACTTCAGCTTAATGAGGTTGTTAAGGTGAGAACTATAGCTCCCTGCAGCCTTTCTCATGTAAACACTGTATTGTCTGAGAAAATACAGTGTTTACATTGAAAGCTAGGAACACCTCCAGTTGCAGTCACTCAGAGTGAACCAGAGGGACTTCTGAGTTGATGGAGGCATAATATGCCTCCATCTACTCAGATCTGCTGTGCACGAGCATCCTGTGATTCAGTATCCCCTCCCACTGCATGCAGACACTGAACTTTTCTCATAGAGATTCATTGATTCAATTAATCTCTATGAGAAGTTGCTGATTGGCCAGGGCTGTGTTTGAAACATGCTGGCTCTGCTCCTGATCTGCCTCTTTGTCAGTCTCAGCCAATCCTATGGGGAAGCACTGTGATTAGGGCCGGCGCTACCTATAAGGCAAACTAGGCAGCCGTCTAGGGCGCCATATAGGAGGGGGCGCCCTGCGCCCCCATCGCCGGCCCTTTAAATGCTGCAGCCGTCTGAGCACTTAGGCGGCTGACGCACTGCCTCACCTCCCCTTCCCTGTAGCGTGGCCGAGCTCCTCTCCGGTCCGCGACCTGGCCAGACTGACAGGAAGTGCACACTGAGTGCCCCTTACACAGCTCAAGGTCTGGGTCCCAGGGCCTGACGGTGAGTGCACTTCCTGTCAGTCTGGCCGGGTCGCGGACCGGAGAGGAGCTCGGCCATGCTACAGGGAAGGGGTGGTGAGGAGAAGAAGATTACAGGGAGGGAAGGGGAGTGGAGAAGATTGGAGGGGGGGAGTGGAGAAGATTGGAGAGAGGGAGGGGGGAGAAG